AGAGAGAGAGAGAGAGAGAGAGAGAGAGAGAGAGAGAGAGAGAGAGAATATACACAAACCGGGCCAGCAATGCTGGTCTAGCAGAAGCAAATCGCGGTCTCTGAAGGTGCATTCATGGAAATTAAGTGTCCTCGGATGACCATTAACCCCTAGAAAGCCCGATGAGCTAGACGCAGAGGGGAACAAGGAGACTTAGTCTCTCGTGCTCTTGGGTGAGTGGCTGGAGCAGGAAGGTAGTGATTAGTTGCTCCGGCTTCCACTTCTGGGGCAAGATGAACAGCGATCGCTGCAGATACCGGGGTGGGGGTGAAGAGGGGCGGGGGCGGGGGGCTTCGGCTCGGAGAAACGCTAACTGTTCCCTGGAGGTGAACAAGGTCTAACGAGAACCGGAGAGAGGACGCGAAGGGCCCTGAAGAGTTTCCCAGGCTCGGGGAGGACGAAGCCCGTCAGCGTCCTCCCGGGTGCCCTCCCGGATGGCTGAGGCGGATGGCAGCAGTCGGGCCGGCGTTCGGGGCCCTCACGGCAGAGACCTTGGGACCGGCAGCGCCCGGCCTGGCCGCAGCCGTGCTCAGGTAGGAACTCCCGTTCCCAGCCGCGCGCCTCGCTCTCTCCAGAGGTCCAGGCGCGGCTCCCACGTCCCTTCCGTCCCCGACCCGAAGGCCCCCGTTGAAACCGGTCCGGGCACACCAGGCAGGCCTCGTCGGCTCCCCGGCTTTTCCCCCCTGATCGCGCACGCCCAGCCGCCGCCGCTCCCGGGCCAGGCCTGGAGCCTTTCGTTGCGGCGGCCAGGTTCGCCCCCCACGTTCCCCACTCCCCGCGTCGTCGCCCCTCGGCGCGCGCCCTCGCTCCGTCCCCGGTCTCGGGCCCCGACTCACAGAACTCGGCGACGAACAGGGTCACCGCATAGTTCTCCTCACACCAGTCCAACGTGGAGGTAGTGGGGCCCCAGTAGCCTTCGCGGTCCCCAGCCGGAGCCATCGCGCCGCCGCCCCGCACTCTCGGCTCGGCCGCTCCCGGGCCGACTCAGGAAAGCGCGCTCTCCGACGCCCTCCTCCCGAACCAGAAGGGCGGGGGCGGGGCTAGAGCCGTCATGGGACCCGCCCCGCGGGAGGCCACGCCCACCTCGTCCCCGGACCGCCCCCGTTTCTGCACGGCCCCGCCCACCGCGACCAGAGCAGGCGCCCAGGGCCCATCCAGATGGCGCCTGGTGAGTGACCGTGGCTCCTGGGTTCCGGGGAGTAGTGATCCACGGGAGGAGTTGGGAAAGTGGGGAGCCCGGCCGATCTTGACACGCCCTTGTGTAAGGTTGGAGGCGTCTAGCACCCTCTTTTCGGTATGGACGCGACCAAGCCTCTATTAGTGTGTGGGCGGTCTAGTTTCATTGGGGCGAGAGGAGATGAAATCTTTCCCTGTCAAGCCCGGGGCTAGATTAAACTTGCACAGTGAGGCCCCTCAGTGTCTTGACTAGCCACAAGCCTCGAAAGGAGGAGACGAAAGAGAGCACCTACCTAGCCAACTCCGGCGATTCCTGGGAAGTCACTCGGAGTGTCCTGTAGAGAAAAAAGGGGGCAACAGCTCAGAATGAACAGAATAAGAAATAGGTGTCTGCATTCTTTAACAGTAAATACTGGATAAAGCACTAGAAGTTTGTGACTTTCCTTTGGGCGTCTATGCGTGGTGTTTTCTGCTTTCTTAAGTGAGCCTGACTCCATGACTCCCTTGTCCACCACTAGACTCCCTCTGCTTCCAACATCAGGATTGGAATATTCATACCTCAGTCTCCAGATTGTACTGTTAAGAATGAAAACACAGGCCTGTGACATGGCTCAGTGGGTTTGGCTAAAGACATTTACCGTGTGAGTCTAGTAGGCTGAGTCTTATCTCAGGAACCATATAAAAATGCAAAGAGGGAACAGACGTCACAAAGTTGTCCTCTGACCTCCTCCATACAGGCAACATGGCACACGAGTCTGTCGCGCGCACACACAAAATAGTAATAATCGGTAAAAATTTAAAAATAATAGGCATATCCTGTTGCCTTTTGTGTTCAGTTTCAGCAAACTCTTCCCCAGGTCAGGAAGATGCCGCTCAGCTTCCATAGTCCTTCCTTTGCTTCTGAATTTGGCCAGCTCCCCGCCGTTCCTTTAAAACCCAGCTCCCTGAAGACCTTCCTAACTCTCACACCCAAGAGCCCCTTTGCCCTTCATTCTTGCTCTTGCTCTACAGTCATGATGCTGCAAATAGAGACCTTGCTTTCCATACTTTGAGATCCAGCCTGCAAGAGTCTGCCGGCCACACTGTACGAAACGAAGAGCAGAGATCAAGGATTATACAATTGTTGTTTTCTAAGGGAGCCAGATGAGCCGCAACCAAAAGGAAAAGAAAAACGGAGAGATCATTAGTCATATGGGTTTATCATTCACATAGGTTTATCAGAGGTCATACATTGTAAGTCAGGGTACATCTGTATTTTCCATTTTAAAAAATTTATTTGTTAAGCCAGGTGGTGGTGGCACACAGCTTTAATCACAGCACTTGGGAGGCAGAGGCAGGAAGATCTCTGAGTTCGAGGATAGCCTGGTCTACACAGAGGATAGCCTGGTCTACACAGAGGATAGCCAGGGCTACACAGAGAAACCCTGTCTCAAGAAAGGAAGGAAGGAAGGAAGGAAGGAAGGAAGGAAGGAAGGAAGGAAG